GGAAAGAGAAGCTAGCACCCTTCGAGGTGGTGCAGATCCCATTCCTCTTATTCCTCAGCCTGCACTTATTCCCCACCACATTGTCATGCCACCAAAACCCAAAACCTTCATTCCCTGGTTGTCTCCTGGCACCCTGTGATACCCTCCTACCCCCAAACTATTTACCTTCACTAAATATGGAGCTCCCTGGCCTCTAAGTGACCTGATCTTTCCTACCAACATGGCCTAGGAAGCCAGAAGCTGGAACCAAGAGTTTTCAGAGGCAGCTCAGGGTTATGGTCTCAGGGGCCACCCATTCAAGTCAGAGAAAGATGGAACTGGGGCATGTGAGCAAAGTGGACGTGCGAGATGCTGTGCCCATAGAAGACTGAAGTCCCATGAAACACTTTTAGGGTCCCAGTCATGCTCTAATCAAGAGAATCGATAAGGTTTTTCCAACAGAAGGACTCAATCAAAAGTTCCCACCCCCACCACTCTATGTCAACTCTGAGTTGACTCATGCAGTACTTCATACAGCTCTAATGGACCTTTTCCTTACTGGAAGAGCAGTCAGGATGTGTCATGTACATCATCTGCCTAAGTGTCATGAAAGTGAGTGAATCTCTAGCTGCAGTTTACCTGATCTGGGCTGACAACAATAGGCTCCCTTAGAAGAATCCAGGTGATACACTCTTCACAAGGAGGTGTAGTGAAGGAGCCCTCATAGGTCCAGTAGTCCCGAGACTTGGGGAAAAGGATTGATGGATCAAAGTGATGGAAAGGAGCCTCTTTCCCCTTAGAGAGAGAAGACAGAAGTCTCTTCAGTAACCAATGGAGATCCCAATCTTTCTCAAATGGGGAGTCAAGTTACCAAAGGAAAAAAAAACCCCAAAAAACCCAACCCATCTGTATACAAGGAGAATGTCTCCATCTGCTGTCACACAACTGCTCTGTAATTGTGGCTATGCAAATAAGTGATGTTTCTTGGTTCAGCTGGCACATTTTAGTGGTGTGCCCTAACCACCAAGCTACTGGGCAAACTTGAACAGTCATTGCCTTAAGAACTATTTTCACACACCCCCCCCCCAAATGATTATCAAAACTATGCTTTTAGTGAAGAGAATCTGGACAGTGTCAGCAGTCAGGGTAGTGGTGCTCAAGTTTCCAGGCTTTCCTCCTTTGACAGCTTCTGTTTTCTGCTCCTGGGCACAAGGTGGGGTGGCACAGGCAAGGGAGCATTGAGGACCTGGGACTCTGTACAGTACAGAAGCACCAGCATGGTGAGGAGTGGGGTGGGTGGGCAGGAAAGAGAAGAGATAATATGCAGCATGGGGGTGGGGGTGGAGGCAGGGACCACAGTGCAGTGCTGCACACAGACAACCAGCCACTTATGAAGTTGGATAGCCCTGCACTAACCCATCCTATAACTACATCAGCACTTACAGCTGTTTGCTTACAGACATGCAGCTCCCCAATAACTCATGGCACTTCACAAAGTTCCATGAGCTACAGCAACCCCTCTTCCCCCCACTGGACCCATAAATGTTCACTGCTGGGGTGGGGGAAATTGAGGTCCGCTTTGGAGCCAATCTAGGAGAAGCTGCAGGTCTGTAATCTCTCTCCACTAGTCCTGCTGCCCCCCCCCCCCCCCTTCCCAGTGCTAGCTTCAGGATGGGGTTTCAGTTTGGGGGTTGCACAGCCTGCACTAGAAGGTGGTGGGGGGCTCCAATCAACCCCCTCCTGCACTGCTTGGGAAAACCTCAGACCAGAGCTCCCTTCCCTCCCATCCCATTCTGCAGACAATCCTGGAGCCAGAGCTCAGCAGCATCAGTCCAGCCCTACTTGTGCACAGGGATAGACAGAAATTAATGAAGGAGCACTAGATGATGGTTCATGTGATCGGTCACTTTTTAAAAGCACTCTGCAACCATGCACTTCTGTTAAGGCACAGCTGTGGAATGCTTTCAAGGGACCAATCATGCAACAAATATCATGTCAGTCAGTGCCCTTTTTTCAAAATCATTGTTACATAGCATCTCGCATTTTATTTTCTCAGTTCAAGATCCAGTCTCTCTGCTTGTCTCGAATGGTTTCTTTCAGAAGAGCTACAACCCCAGTTTCCAGTTTGTGACAGAAGTAGTAACTAGATTCCACTATCCAAAACTGAGTAGTTATTTTTTAGTTCATACTAAAACAAAGTATAACATCTGATGGCTAAAACAATGCATCAGATGCCACATCAGAATGGAGAAATTTGGGGGGGGGGGGGGGGGGGAAGCCGCGACACCATCTACGTTG